CTGTTTGTTGAATTATTTTTACTTTCTAAATTAGCTGGTTGTTCATATTGTATTCCCAGTTTCCTGCATCTCATATAAGAGGATCATTCTAATTGTTAAAAGAAGAGTTTGAATTTACAGTGAGCCTGCTTAGAATAATGTTTTGATTAGGTTTTTTATTTTCATCTAAGCATATAAGGAACCATAAATAGGATTGTTAAGTTGATAATCTAAAGATTCATCTATTTTCTAGGATGCTATTTAAAATTTGAGGGGAGAACACTGCTCAGCAGTATAAATGTATTCCTGATCATCTTCTTTTTGTGGGTTTCTACATCAATTTCATGTACTAATTCAGAGTCGGTTTTATGTCATTTCTTTGCATAATTTGTTTTATTAGCTTACTTTTCAAGTTTTTATATGACGGCAATATAAAATTGAGAATCGAAATGGGGAATATGTCAAAAATCATCTACGAGAAATTTGTAATGAAAGGTTTAGTTTTTATATTTATCAGTATTAATTTGATATTGAATAGAAATAACTTATTAATATGGATGAGTTAAAATTATTAGTTTGAAAAATGATAAGAGCGCCCTCTACAATATAAATAACAAAGATGGCGGAACGTAAACAAACCACCTCGCCCGCGAAATTGAAATTTTTCTCTTATTTCTTGCTTATTGTACTCTATAGTCCGCACCCCGTCTGGAATGTCCAATTTTGGAGAATAAAACCGCGGACTATACAAGCCTTTCTACGGTAATTGTCAGACACTAAACTTGGACAATGTATTCTCAAGCAGAATGTAAGCCTGCAGGGGCGTAGCTACCCGGAGGCACGGCAGCACCTACATCCCCGTCGTTTTCACAAAACAAAAAAAAACAAAAACAAAAAAAAGTGAGAGAGAGTGAGGGGGGCAGGAGGATTTTGAAAATAAATAACTCAGCCTTGATAATAACAAAAATGAATGGTTTGTTCTGTGGTAGTTTGAAAATAAATGACCTGACCTACAATGTATTGAAAATAAAAAACTCGGCAGGTCTTTTAAGCCATTTTATAAATGCTATTCTAAAGTATGAAATGGCACCAGATTCTTCCAAAATACAAGTCATACAACTGGTGTAAACTTAGAGGAACTTTTTATATTACGGGCATTGTTTAGAAAATACCAGCTACATAGTTGTTGGTTCCACAACCATACCGTATACTCACTTTGACTTGTAAAAAAAAACATAATCCCTCTAGGGTTAACAAAAAAACTTGAAAATTATTATTTTCCGCTTCGCCCTAAAGCACACATCTTACTAGAATGAAGACTCTTCAACTCGTATCAATCCGGGAATAATGACTGTAACCTTGTGAACTAGTTCAATATTGACTAAGTATGTAGGTCTTGACAACACGAATAGTTCATTTTCACATCACGTCAACGTAACTCGTCCTGTGTGCATGTAATATTTGCTACCGGACATTGATATACCATTCAATCAATCAATAGTTTCCGTATACTAGTAGATGAACAGTTGGAACTGCTGTTATTATAAAAAAAAAGTACACATTTTCCAGTACATGTTTTTAGTTTTAATTTATTTTACAAAAAAAATCTTTTATATAGATTCGATAATTCAAGGTCGTTTCTATATGGGCCGGCTATACGAATGGTTGATTGTAAAACCATTTAAATAAATTGTTAATTCTAACTCGTTTTACTGGACTATTAGGTCATTCAATTTTAAAAAGAACTGTCTGTCCGAGTAGGACACTAAACTGCTGATTCTTGTTCGAAAGATACACCAAACTTTTATTACACGTATCTTCACTGTTATCATCTAGATATTGCCATACAACTGGTCGAATGCATATGCATTTGTTAATTAGCTGGCTAATTAAAAACGCAGATCATGAAAAAGATCGCGATCAAAGTACCATTTACTCTGAAAAAGTTCATTAATTTCAACTTCAAATAATTACATATGTTAAGCAAAATATATGAGAATGTGTCCACCAAGTATTTGGTATCCAATGATGTTTATGCTAACAGAAACTCCACATATAGTATTGTGTTCATGTTTATGTTTATTGTTTGTTTTTTTAAATCTTCTTTGCTCAATACAAATACTAGCATATGGAACAAATCTCCGTGATTTTATAAGCTTTCACGTACAAAAAACACAAGCGACAACGTTAAGTCTTCATTCGACTCGAAGTTAAACAAATAGTTGACCAAAAAACCACAACAAAAATGTCCAAGTTTTATTTCGGTTGTGATTGTTTTGAAACGCTTTATATGCGGAGCTTCCGGGGGGCTTCGCCCCCCTGGCCCCCTTACAAGGGCTTTGCCCTGGACCTACTGGGGGCCTTAGGCAGCCTCCAGACCCCTCGCCCTATAGTTTGTGATTCCACTTCATTAAGAAGGTAGCTACGCCCCTGGCCTGATCAGTTAAATAGATATAAGGTTCTTTTCAACACTGCATACAGTATTGCAAAAAAGGGAAACCCTTCAGTGACTATGAATTTATTCTTGAAATCCAGTGCAAAAATGGTGTTGATGTGTAAGCAGTATTTCAATATTGAAGGTTGTAAACTGTTTATTCGCTGGATAGCCCATTTAGGCATTATATGAGAAATGAAACATCACATGCAGTTCAAATATGATGAAACAAACTAACCTCACTCCAAAAGCTCATTAATTTTGTATCTTATTGCGTTATGAAATTTTTCCTGTAAAAGTAGGACCTGGGATTTAGGTTGTGGACCTTTCAGTTTGGATTGTCAAAGGTCCTGGACCTTCCAGTACCAAATGTTAATTTTAACCCCTGTTTACATACACTTTCTACATTTACATGTGATCATGTTATAGGCGCTTTTTGATTGGATGCAGCGAGTTTCCACTGCAACCAATGAAAATCATTACCTTGTGTCTCCGAAATTCTATCTCAATCCGCCATGGGTGGAGAAGAGGGAAGTGGATCGTAACCCTTGGCTAGCGAAGTTGCTATGGTACTGACTTGATATCTAAATCTTCCAAGGTGCTTTCATGTCGATCTGGCCAAAGTCGTTCCGTCCCAAGTCGATCCGGTCCAAGTCGATCTGGTCCCATATTTAAGTCAATCCAGCCCCAATATAAAAAATATTTATAAGGAAATACAATAAAGATATAAAAGAAATCAGTGTCATTCATAAATGTTTATGAATTTTATAATATTATAAAAGGTGGACAGTAAAAAAGTTGGCCTTTTACAGATAAATAATGTTAAGTTTCCATAAGATGAGACATTTATTTGAATATTTTTAAAAATTTATATTAAGATTTCATATAGAAATATAATATTATTTTTATATAAAAGATTTGAATTCAAATCAAATTAACACCTTACAATTATGTTGATTATGTTTTTAAGGCTATTGGGTATGCATAATTATAATAAAAACATATATAACAGAATTTAGTACCATCAACATTAATCTGCAGTAATTATCATTTTTTTCAATTGACTGTGATCATGGTGATCGTTAACAACTATCATCCTGTGTAATAACAAATAGTTACATATACAACTGTACAAGTAGATCCCCAAGCTGATGTATACAAACTTTGTATTTGTTTAAAGTTATAAAAACTTCTCAAAATGAGAAATGTTGTTTGATTTCCCAAATCCTTAAAAGAGGAGACAGGATGGGTTTTTCTTTTAATATCACAATTCGATGGTACAAAAAAAGAACATAGAGAAGACAGTGGTGAAAAGAAATGATAGTACATTTCTTCTTCATGTTATCTGAAAAAAATATAACAATTAATTATTAGAACTTCAAACATGTCAAATAAAAGAGCTTGTTGCTTAAGTAAATTTTATCAATCATGATTTTGATGGAATTAAGTGGTTACGACTGGCGTTAATTTGGTTCACAATCATCATACAACTGTTGAATAAACAAACCAATTATAGACTAAGGGACGACATCAAAAGATCAATGTAGGATAAAAAACTTAAATCAAATAGTTTGGGGTGGGGGGGTTAAAATTGCTGCAAGTTTTGTTTATCCAAAATCGATTTTACATATATCCATATTGGTCAATCAATTTTTCCCAAATGAAGTTAAGACTGGGGGGTGGGGGCGGGGGTCAGTGAAAAAACTATGTGAATTAAGTTTTTTATCCTACATTGAACTTTTGATGTCGTCCCTAATGGTTTGATTTAAACAAGTCATTATGATGATTACATAATTAGATGTTCCAATTGATTTATCTCTTCTATGTGTGAATTAAATAAAAACTTTTTTCCCATGATATTCCAAGTTATGGAAAATAACTTCATATCTATATGCTGATGTTGCTTTACAAACAGTACCAATCATACTCATTTTCGTATCGATTTAAAATAATTCATTTGAATGTTACTCCAACATGTCCAATATAAGGCATACCTGCTGTCATTAAGCATCAATACTTTTTACAAATTCCATTTATCCTGATAAAAAAATAGGTCACCAAATCATCCGAAGTTAATATAAATTATTCATTATTTTATTATGTGCCAGATCTACTTGGGACCGGATCGACGTGGGACGGATTGACTTTGGGCCGGATCGATTTTGGGCTGGATCGGTTTGGGGATGGAACGACCTGATGCCTTCCAAGGTTTATCACTTCTTTTGAGATACACAAAATATAGTGCATTCACCATAACATTCTAAGCATCCTATCCATGAACATTTCCAGAAATTTATCAACGAAATATATGCTCAGATTTTCAAGTTACAAAATGATGTTATACTTGTCAAGAAAATTACATAACTTGTGCAAGGTGCAGTAATCTAATATCTGTTATAAAAATATCAATGATCATGATGATTTCATTGTTAAAGTAGTCTTTTAAAATTGGAGTTATCTTCCTTTGTCCATATATAATTGTAGAACTTTCAATCAACTACAACCAATGTTTTTACAATGCAATGTTTAATTTGATTTTTTTAAGTTAATGCTATTGATAATTCATACTTTGAAAATTGATTTACAGCTTTTCAACAGAGAGAAGAAACTAAACAGCATATCATTCCACCTGTGCAATACTGCTTACCATATTTTATTCTCGTAAGAACAAGAATTTCTCTACCCAATGTATGTTTGTCTCCGCTGGAACTCAGCACTGGTACTGTTGTTTTTATAGTGATCTCGTTTTTATACACCCGTTTACAGGACGTATTATGGTATACCTCTGTCCGTCCGTCCGTCTGTCTGTACGTCTGTCCATCCGTCTGTCCGTCGTCAACATGTCGGACAGTAACTCAAAAATGCTTTAACCAATTTGCATAAAACTTTGGTGAATTGTTTATATCTATTGACGTGAGCTCCCTTTCGTTTTTTATAAAATTTAGATTTTACGTTTCCGAGTTCTGGGGTTTTATTCATTTAAAAAAAAAGGGGATTTTCCAGTTTTCGGACAATAAGTCAAGAATGCTTTCACCCACTTGCAAGAAATTGTGGTGAATTGTTTATTTCTATTGACATGAGCTCCCTTTCGATTTTTATTACTTTTAGATTTTACGTTTCTGAGTTACAGGGTTTTATTCATAAAAAAAGGGGGGATTTTCCAGTTTTCGGACAAAAACTCCAAAATGCTTTCAGCAATTCTTATGAAACTTTGGTGAATTGTTTGTATGTATTGATGTAAGCTCCCTTTAGAATTTTATAAATTTTACATTTTACATTTCTGAGTTATGGGGTTTTATTCATTAAAAAAAAGGGGTGATTATTTTCGGACAATAACTCAAAAATGCTGTCACCAATTCTCATGAAACTTTGGTGAATTGTTTATATCTATTGATGTCAATAAATATTATGATTTATGTTAAGGTGCAGTATAAATAAAAATGCAGAGAAAAAAAAGACTTTGTAATGCCAGAAAATATGATTTTCCCTATTACATGTGATCAACTGTATAATGACTGCCAAATATTGATTAATCAAGATCTGTGTGACATTTATATATCATGAATATATTTCAAAACTTTAAATATTTTTCAGCTGTTATACTACCAACATTATGGCTGTACCTTGAGAACACATTCCATGCACAGCAATATTTCTTGGGATTAATTCTGTCTGCCTTCAGTTTAACTGCAATGCTTTCAGGACCTATGTTTGGCAGGTAAAATCTCATTTGTGGAATTGTACATTTTTAATTTTCTTTGAACTCTACGTTAATATGTAAAGGAAAAAAAAATGGCATATTTACATTAAAAATATTGAACTATTGAAATTAGGACAATTTTGAAATACTTGGAATCTGCTGACACAAACAATGTTGTATGTTAACAGGTTAAGTCTTATTCCATTAGTTAGCATCCGGTCAAGTCGGGTCAACCAATAAGTTTATACTTGTATAAACCAGTTTTGAGACATCATAAGTATGAATATGATACATGTCAATAAATCTGGATGTGTTGATGAATTTGTTTACCTTTCATTACTTATGTTGACACATGAATGAAATACTTCAAAAATTACTGTATGGATATATATCTATAATTGCTTACAATCTAGGTTATTTTATCTCTGGTGGATATATATATCCTGTTGGGAAAAAAATATCAACAAAAAGAATGTCATTTATGGAAAAAACTGAAGATAGCATCAAAAAGTATATTTGATTCTACAAAGCTTTAGATTAATGATTTATTTAAAAATTACGATAAAAATGGAAGTAAAATTGAGAATGGAAATGGGGAATGTGTCAAAGAGACAACAACCCGACCAAACAGCAGAAAACAGCCGACGGCCACCAATGGGTCTTCAACACAACGAGAAAATCCCGCACCCCGAGACAGGCTTCAGCTGGCCCCATAAACAAAATGTGTACCAATTCAAGGAAAATGGACGTCACACTAAACTCCAAAACATATAAATGAACTAAAATTAAAAAACATACAAGACTAACAAAGGTCAGAGGCTCCTGACTTGGGACAGTCGCAAAAGTGCATTATAATAGATTTATGTAAAAGAAGATGTAGGCCATAATGATAATATCAATCAATGCAATTTGTCCCAAATAGACGTACTGCCTTTGATACTTTAATACATGTAAAAACAGCTACTCCTAGAAACATCAAATCAACTAGTACTGTATACGATGGAAAGAAGAAACAGGAAACCTAGGAACAAAAATAATTATTTTTAACTTTAATGCCCCACCTACAATTGAGGGGTATTATTGTTTTCTGGTCTGGGCCTTCCATCCATTTATCTGTTTGCTAGTCCCTATGGGATGCATAAACATAAAGGTTTGCTTCAAAGATATTTTACCATGCATGGAGTTGTCGTCACATTGAAACTTGTGCAAGTAAAATTGAGAATGGAAATGGGGAATGTGTCAAAGAGACAACAACCCGACCATAGAGCAGACAACAGCCGAAGGCCACCAATGGGTCTTCAATGCAGCGAGAAACTCCCGCACCTGGAGGCGTCCTTCAGCTAGCCCCTAAACAAATATGTATACTAGTTCAGTGATAATGGACGTCATACTTAACTCCAAATTATACACAAGAAACTAAAATTAAAAATGATACAAGACTAACAAAGGCCAGAGGCTCCTGACTTGGGACAGGCGCAAAAATGCGGCGGGGTTAAACATATTTTTGGAGATCTCAACCCTCCCCCTATACCTCTAGCCAATGTAGAAAAAACAAACGTACAACAGTAGGCACAGTAAAACTCAGTTTAAGAGAAGTCAGAGTCCGATGTCAGAATAGGAAACAAAAGAAAATAAACAAAATGACAATAATACATAAATAACAACAGACTACTAGCAGTTACTGACATGCCAGCTCCAGACCTCAATTAAACTGATTGAAAGATTCTGTCTTCATCATATGAATATCAGGCACAATCCCTCCTGTTAGGGGTTTAGTATTATACCATCATAAAATATATGAGAAGAACATAACCCGTGTCATGCCAACAACTGGTTTTAGAATAAATATGTTTAATTCCGATGCAAAGACCCTATAAGTGAATCAATATTAAAGCCAAAATATGCAATCTTTAATGACCTGACAACAGTATCGTAACTATATCCCTTCTTAATAAGTCTGTTTAAATGTTTTGTAAGCTTTTGAGGTGAATACTGACATTTTTGTGCTTTGTAAAGAATATTACCATAAAAGATTGGATGTGAAATACCCGAACGTATAAGATGTCTGCATGTTGAGTTATATTTACGAATGATGTCCTTATACCGATGATAAAATTTAGTTAATGTTTTGACTAGTTTATAAATGTTCATTTTGATTTGAGCTTCCAAATAACTGTTTTAATGTGTTGCTGTCTCATTTAATTATATATCTCACCTCTTTTTTTATTCATATTTCTTTTCTTTTTAATTTATGTAATTTTCCATCACATCCAATATACATGTATGTATTATTATGAAACTGCTTTTCAGATACTTAATTGACAAGTTTTCCTATCAAAGGTCTATGGTTCCTCCACCAACAGATACTTGCTACCATGATAAAGCCAAGGTTGCTGAAAGTGGTGTTAAACATTAACAAACAAACATAAACACATACATCATGTACATAAATAATGAAATAGTGATACATATTTTTGTTAAAGAAATTTAGATTTTTAAATAAACTGGGTTTTTTTTAATTTCAAGATGGTCAGATGTGACAAGGAAGCCAAAGTTTCCAATGTTGATTGGTGCTGTGTTTGAGATTGCTGGTAATACAATGTATTTTATGGGCAACTCAAAATGGTTTTTGGTGGCAAGTCGACTGATAGCAGGTTTGTAACATCAAGTAATATTGTATAAAAATCATGTGATGGAATTTGTTGGCTAGCATATGCAATTTAAAAGTAAGAGATATAGAATGAATAAACAGTTACATGAGACAACAATCCTTGTAATACTTAGTTAGAAAATATGAATGGTAAATTTTGTTTTATGCTGTGGGCTGATGAGTTAACATCTTTAGTGCAACTTATATTTATCCATAACCATTGGCATAGCACCTAGTCAGCTTGTACAGTTTATACTGTACTCTTTTGTGTAGTGCCATAATAAAATGTTTACAAAATCCAGCTGGAACTGACATTACAGATTCACAAATAATATGATTATATCTTATCAAGAAATGGATATAAAAAATGAAACATTATTTTGTTAACCATTTGATGCACATTTCTTCATTTGCCTTCAAGAATACTCCGAGTCAAAACGTTTATAAAAACACAGATTTCTGAATAAATTGGGAACTTAATATAATTTTGATAAGGGAAGTGACACTTCAAGTATTGTCATTAGTTGCTCACTAAATCACACTATTATATATCATACATTTGACAAACACACAGTTTCTCTGTACTGTTTGTTATGTTGCTGTTTGATATCTCCTGTAAAGTACAGCCACTGATAATAATATGTAGTAGTCCTATTATAGGATGGCATAATTTCGTATCAGCAGGTTAAGTATTTTGAGCTTGCATTAGGTAACTAGAGGGTTTTTTTGATTGGCATAGTTTATTATAGTTTTAGTATGTACTAATTTTGTTGATGTCTCGTACTCCAATATAAATCACATTGCATGTATGTTTCATACGAATCCATACTTTTGTTTGGCGACACCAATCGAGAGTCATTCCAAAATTAGATTTAAATTTCCTATAAAATCAACATTCATGACAGCACATGCTTCCCGTGATGTCACAACAATGCATAGGAAAACAAACAAAAAAATCGATATAACTTGTAATTTCATGGTTGTAAATGTAGCATAAAATGTAATTATAAGAATTGATGGCTTTTTTTGTAATTTTATATGGTTGTTAATGCGTTGATCATGCCTACATACACAATGTGCTTCAGTCAATGCTTTTACACCCCAATAAAATTACAAAAAGAAGCATTCATTTCTTACTTAAATTGTTAGTATAGAGTTAAGTGCTTTTCTTCCACTGATTTTGATGATATGTTCAGCTTTCCTGTACCATTGATTGGGATTTAAAGGGGAGGGTTGAAACCTTAAAAAAAAAAGTTTAACCCTGCTGGTTTATTTATATATTTTACCATCTCATTGACATACTCCACATCTGGTTTATTTATATATTTTACTGTCTCATTGACATACTCCACATCTGGTTTATTTATATATTTTACTGTCTCATTGACATACTCCACATCTGGTTTATTTATATATAATTTTAGGTGTTGGAGCAGGAGCTGAGTCTGTGATTTTAGCTGAGATATCTCGAGTGACCACTGAAGCAGAAAGAACAGGAATATTATCCACAATGATTGCAATTAGACAAAGTGGGCTTTTGATAGGTACATGTAGTTATATTTACTTCATTTTATATTTGTCTGTAGAAAACTTGACCAAATTTTGTTCTTCTTTTTTTTCCTTTAACAAAAATTCTGTCTATTCATGCATACAACAAAAAAGGCTCAATACTGAATAGAATATAGTTTTACTTTTTCACATTTAAAGTTAATACATAAGTGTTAGAAGTATTTATTTCATTAGGAGGTAAATTTTCTCATGACAGTTTTCTTTTTTTTCAGGGCCTGGTCTTAATGTTTTCCTTCGACTAGCCAACTTTAACATTGGTCCATTTAAAGTGAACAAATACACAGACCCAGGGGTAAGGTAGTATATCTGTTTTATGGTATCTAGAGGATAAAGCATTTTAAGTGATGGTGGAAAAAAAGAAAAATAATATATTTAGTAATTGTCAAATATTATAAGATTTTCTGAGTCATTCAGATAAGTCATACTCGTGAATTTTATTTGTTAGTTGAAAGGATTTACTACCAAATTACATATACATTTGAATACATTAATGGTCATCAGTTTTATTGTGGGGTAAAAATTGTACAGAGTGTAATTAAATCCCTTATTTAACTGACTGGTTAGCTGTATTTCAACCATCTTACTAGCTGTTTTATGAATATACACACATCATAGTACAGTGAGACTTGTTAACATTCTTTAGATCCATACCCATGTCAAGCAATTTAATAAAATAAATACTCAGATATTCAATTATCAAAATGGTTGATGTGTACATGTATATATGTAAAACCATACTTTTCCAGAAAACCATAATTTTTTATTATTAATATTTAACAGATAATATTATGCAATATAAAAAATATTTAAATAATCTGTCCTTATTATTCAAAGTTTAAATTGAAAAATGTCTTAAAAGTTTGAATTTTGTATTAGGTACAGTAAAATAAAAATGTCTGAAGTGTCCAGTGTGAATCTCAAATATACACATGTATATAAATCTTTGCAGATAATTTATATTCATTCCAGGCTTTCATGGCATGTCTATGGGCATTAGAATTCTTATTACTAGTACTGTTTTATACTGATTTACATAAAATAAAAGAGCTAGAGCTTGAACAGGAAAGAGTGAATGATCCAGTCATATCTAGTGACAAATTATCCAATCAGAATCCTCCAACCTATGACACTGTGATAACTGGTGCCAGAGATAATTATGATGTCAGTGCAGATATTGAAGGAATCCAGTCTACCACTGAATATGAGAAACAGATATGTGAAATAAAGACAGAAGAACCAGTCACAAAAGAAAAACTGAGCATGGGATTCTTTTATAAAAGTGTGTATTATCAATTTATTTTAAGACAGAAATAAGGTGGGTTGTCAAAATACATTTTGTACCATTGTACCAAGGGAGAGGCAACCTTTGATTTCTTATCAAGCTATTTAGCAAAATCTCCTTTTAAAAATACTAAGGGAAATTCTTTGAAGATTTGATGATGGGAAGAACCTATACTAATTAACATTATTTAATGATTGTTAGGTGGCAAACTTGGGGTCAATGATGGAACATAGTACCCATAAACCCCACGGAAAATTATTTTTCATTTCTTCTCAAAATCTACTAGGCAATTTATATCAAACTTGGTAGGATTCTGATGGGGTTCCATTGGTCATACAGTTATGCAATTCATGTTTGATGTCATTAACAATGTAAATAAAGAGATACCTCTAAAATATTCTTGAATTAAAGTATTGTATTAAATCAGTTCTTTATGTATATCAACATCATTTATTGATTGAGTGTTCTAACTAATATCAGTTTCTGTCTTTTAAGTTGTATGAAAAATTATAATTTAGAACTCATTTATTTAGAAAACAAACAATTCAATGGTTTTCGTTTGTTGCTGGATGTCATATTTGTTCTTCTTTCATTGTTTTGTACATAATCAGGCCATTAGTTGTCTCGTTTAAATTGTTTTACATTTGAGCTGGGTCGGATAGAAATCGACCTTATGCAAATGAATATTAATACATTTGTTAAATTATTTCGGTATGGGTTTTGCTTATTGTTGAAGAGCGCATGGTTAGCTAAAGTTGTTAACTTCTGTGCCATTTAGTCTCTGGTGGAGAGTTGTCTCATTGGCAGTCATACCACATCTTCTTATTTTTATATTTCAATATGAATTTCTTTTTTCAAAATATCCTGATCTGTTTATACATTTGTACCTAGATATTTTTCATAATTGAATATGCATACAATAAATAGATCTAATTGTGTGGTATGGCTATAACCTCTAATTGTGTGGTATGGTTATTACCTCCAATTGTGTGGAGGGGCCTTGGTGGCAGAGTGGTTAAAGTAGTCAAACTACTGTATCACTAGCCTGTCAACACTGAGGTTGTGAGTTCGAATCCCTCCTTTCTTAATTGACTAGGATTGTCAGTTTTCCTACCGAATATCGGTGGTTCTCTCCAGGCACACCGGCTTCCTCCACCAATAAAAACTGACCGCCACGAAATAACACAACAGTGTTGAAAGTGGCATAAAATACCAATCAATCAATCAATCCAATTGTGTGGTATGGGTATATTTCAATAGATATTTTATAATGTGTCTTTCTATGTTGTAATGTTACACTACTGGTTCAGGTTAGTGGGGGGGGGGGGGGGGGGGGGGGGGGCGCCTGTTAAAACATTTAAACCCACTGCATTTGTTTGCACCTGTCCTAAGTCAGGAACCTGTTGTTCAGTGGTTGTCGTTTGTTGATGTGGTTCATAAGTGTTTCTCATTTCTCGTTTTTTATAAAGATTAGACCGTTGGTTTTCCTGTTTGAATTGTTTTACATTAGTCATTTTGGGGCCCTTTATAGCTTGCTGTTCGGTGTGAGCCAAGGCTCCTTGTTGAAGGCCGTACTTTGACCTATAATTATTTACTTTTTACACATTGTGACTTGGATGGAGAGTTGTCTCATTGGCATTCATACCACATCTTCTTATTTCTATTTATAACCTCTAATTATGTGGTATGGTTAACTTGTGTTGATCAGTGGCATTTTTACTGTTGTGACCTCCATAAAAATTCAAATAATTTGCTAGTTTTCCAGAAGCAAAATGCAATACATTTAAAGTCCAAATCAAAAATATAAGACGAAATTTAATACTGATGATTGACCGTCTAATGTTTGGCTTATGAAGTATGTTTGGCAGATTTATAATAAAATTGAGTTTGAATTCAGGGGGCCAAAGTATGACCTTATACCTTCTCCTTTATTGCAAATTTTAAGATATTTAATTTGCCTGAACATGTCTTAGGTAATAGGTGTTCAAAAAATATTTCGTGTTCTCTATATATAGCTAGTCTGTCAAAGAAAGGGATTTATCTTCATTATCCAATTTTATATTTTCAGTGTATGTCAGAGAAGAAATTGTCACATTGCTTGGTGTGCAGTTTATAAGTTTATTTAGTCAAGTATCTTTAGAGGTAAATATGAATCAATTTTAGATTGGTAATGAGTGAATTTAATTAAAATACTAAATTTGAATATTTTGAAGTGATGTATCACTGTTATACACAAGAGGAAACAAGTAAAACAAAAGTAGAAAGAAAATAAGGACATAAGAAGAAAGAACAAATCTTATTTCTACAAGTTCATGTATATATTTTGCAGTAGACAACTATATTCATCCCCACTGTCTTTCCTATTGGGATAAAATAACCTTTCTCTTTATTAATAAGAATAAGTTAAACTTGTACCTATTGTAAACTTTTCTTTGTCTAATAATTGATTGAGACTATGGTCAGTGTCTCTTTGACAAATTGTCATTGAATGATCCATGTGGTGTGTATATGAGTCCCTGGTATTCTGTTACAATCATATTATATTCCACTGCTTCTAATTTTTGCCTTCAATTTACAATTTAAGAAACAAAATTTATTATTATTATACATGTGTGTCAGCTTACTTGTATTTATCATTATCTAATTATAGGGGTCAAATATTTCACAGATATCCTTGTGCCTTTAATTATTCTAGGAATTTTATTTGTTAGTAATTTTTTTAAGCATATTAAATTTTCGACATGAGGTGATTTAGAGCTTGACATTTGTGTATATTTGAAGACTGTATATTGATATTTGTAATGATGCCTACAAAAAAAAATTAATTTCAGACAATGGCAACTCCACTATCAAATAAACTGTTACATTGGGGAGAATTAGAGAACAGCGTGATGTATTGTTGTGCTGGCGTAGAGGTAACTGTTATTAGTCAATTTGTTATATTGATTAGGGAAAATGTATCTTCATTTCAAGTAGGAAACGAAAGTTTGAAAAGTTTTCAATTCTATAATGAATGTACATTTGATCACTGTATCAAGAGCAATACAATGCTCATCTTCAGTGGAACAGGTCATGAGTTAAGGACATAATCAACTGAAAATAATTCTTAAAAAAAAGTTATTTACATGTTAAATATTTGAAGGACCGCCTCTAAAGTTTTGTGAAGGTAGAGATTCCTTAAGTGGATACCGATGTATGTTAAATATTTGAAACTTTATCATTATTTTATCAACAAGTTGCAATTTCTCTGCAAATCTACATTCTGTTTTTGGTTTTCTTAAAAAAAAAAAAGTCATGTTCTTTTTTATGCCCCACCTAGGGGCATTATGTTTTTCGGTCTGTGCATCCGTTCGTATGTCTCTTTTGTTCGTCCGTCTGTCCCGCTCAGGTTAAAGTTTTTGGTCGCTTCAGATTAAAGTTTTTGGTCAAGGTAGTTTTTGATGAAGTTCAATCAACTTGAAACTTAGTACACATGTTCCCTGTGATATGATCATTCTTATTTTAATGCCAAATTAGAGTTTTTACCCCAATTTCAAGGTCCACTGAACATAGAAAATGATAGTGCAAGTGGGGCATCTGTGTATTATGGACATATTCTTGTTTCAATTACTTCACTTTGGCAAAGCAATGAACAAACAATGAAGATTGTAAATCAATACAGAGCTATTAACAAGAGACCAACATGATGATGATGAAAAATATACAATTCATTAGAAAAGTATAAATCTGATTATGATAGAGAAAATATATTTAATTGTCATAATGTTAATTCTTTTAGATTATACTGGTATTTATACTAGTACGAATACTGAGTAAACATTTGAAAGATAGAACAATGATATTGATGGGATGCTTTTTGTTGGCTATGGCTAATGGATGGCTTATGTATGTAGTACCAAGAGCTTATAATGGTAAATCTGGCATGTTTTACACAAACATTAATTTTATTCTTTGTTGAATGTATTAAGTATCTAGGGTTTGTAATTATAAGCTCACATGCACCTTGAACTGTCAGCTATATCTTGTTGATATTTGTTGATGTTTTCACTCAATATACATGATAAATAATTTGTCTCAAGGTTTTGTCCCAATCCAAAGAAATCTTCCTGAAACTCCTTTTCAGCACATGATTATATTCATGCTATAAAAGGTGGTGGTATAAAAATAAGTAGATATGGTATGATTGCCAATGAGACAGCTATCCACCAAAGTTCAAATGAAGTGAATGTAAGCAATTATAGGCAATTGTACAACCTTCAACAATGAGAAAAACCCATACTGTATAGTCAGCTATAAAAGGCCCCGACATGAAACAATTGAATTGAGAAAATAAACAGCCTAATTCAAAACAAAGCAATTTACGAAAAACAAAAATGACAGACATGAAATAATAACAACCACTGAACTACAGGCTCCTGACTTTGGACAGGCACATAAAGAATGTGGTGGGTTTAAACATGTTTGTGAGCGCTTAACCCTAACCTGGGGTAGTGGGGATACAGCACAACATAAGAACAAATTATAAAATTCAGTTGAAAAGGGCTTAAATCATCAGATTAACACAAAGCAGAAAACATCTACCAGAACACACTTTTTTTCTCTGTCCATCTGTCCTCCTGTCCTATCGTAGCCTTCTTAGTTTTTAGTAACAAGCTTCATTTGTGCATGCCATACTGTGTGATTCAATTTCATTGTTCATCATCTTCCTGTTTACCAAATACTTTTCCATATTTAGGACAAGAACTGGATATCATTTGAATACAAGTCCTGCTTTATACTAAACTAAACTGCTAAACCTAATTTTAATGTTCTAATTTAAAAGATTACAGTCTGCCACCTTTATATTAACTTACATTGTATTAATGCTTGTGCTAAACAGCCTATATCTTGCCAGCTTATTTTTGGAGAAGTAATTATCAATTTATTAGTTTGGTTGTGTTTTAAAATCATGAATTCTTCCCCTCAAGAGGACCGTACTTGCCAAGACCATTATTTATTTTTCGTTTCTTGACCCTGATGTGTGGTTGTCTCCTTTTTATTAAGTGTACATTTCTGTGTTGTTTTGAATTGCACATGTTTGCCTTAAATATTTTTTATGTATCGCCACAGATATTTCTCATTTGAAAAATTAGTCATCAGGTGAAGAAACATTGTATACCATTAGAGCTTATTGTTCAGATGGTTGATTTCTATTTACTTTGCAGATACCCCAGCAGAAAATATACCAAAGTTTGTAATAGGAATAGCTTTAGACATGTTAGCACTACCATTTTTGTTTACCTGTAGTATGTCATTATATACAAAGTTACTACCAAAAGAAATTCAGGGTGAGTTTTTAATTATCTAACACTTAGCTGTGGGTTTGAGATCAAATTCTAATAAGCTTTTGAGTCCAATTTCAAGTTCAAATTTTGAATGCCTTTTATTCATTGAACAAAATCTTCTCCATTATCCTCTTAGTCACCCTTTGATTGTATATTTCATTTACTGGTATATATAGTATTTCTCCAAAAATAAGAATTTTTATACTATTAGAACATGTAGAATGAAATGACACTTTATGAATTTGACCTGTCCAAAGCACTTTCCTGGATTTACCTTCATCAGGAATGCTAAAACTCCCAAAATTTGAAAGCCAGGGATGAATATTTTGGCAACAATTATGTAATGATATATGTTTATAATTAGTATAAATAAATATTGTCTGAATAAGATCCCAATAAAAAAAAATAAAAAAGAAGTGGAAATATTCCCTTATACACAAGAAATTTAAAATTGATAGTGTAAGGATTACTGGTATTCAAGGAAACGTATTGTATTTAAAAAAAAAAATCATTTTACAATTGCCTATGATAGGCCTAATATAGCTCACAGTGCTGCTGTTTATAAACATGTTTAATAATAACAATAAAGCTGTAACACTTGTACTGTGCAATCAAATTTAAATGTGTCCTTACTGCTTTCGATAGTTCCTAAACTATTCAAGCATTCAAGCTGATATTGTATATAAAACTGACTCATATTTGAATCACTCACTTCAGGTATGCTCAAGATTGAAAAAAAAATGGAAAGCCAAACGTATGAATTATTTGGCGGGCAGTACAAATGTAAAATCAAAATGGGCCCGACTATAACAGCCAAAACTGTCTAAAGCCACTTTGCATAGGAGATTTACATCTTTGGATTTACTCAAGGACATAGTTTACAAACTAAATGTATCGTAAAATCATATCAGTACCAATTTACTGGCTACTGAGCAGATGTTATTAAACAAAGAGGATTTATAGTACACAAGCACAGGTACAAACCCAGTGGTAATAAAACTTATATATATGGAAAAACTGATTTGTTTGGGTATGACACATGATTTTGTGATAATTCTCATCAGGTATGTTTTAGACCTAAAGTTTGGAAAGCTAACAATATGAAATAAACTAAACAAGTAACTTTCATTGTATGTAATGTTTATTTAATGTAATCTTTTGTAGGATTAAGTCAAGGCTTGAGAAGAACTACAGTAGGACTTAGTACAATAATTGCTCCACTATGGGCAGGATCCACGTTGAGATGGCCATATTTAATGTTTGGTGTGATGCTGAGCCTCCTAGGTGTATCTTTGGTAAGTCATACAGTGAAATATATTTGAATACTTTGGGAACTCAAATCAGACAATTATTTCTTTTCCTTTTATACTATTGCTGTCCAGTTTTATATATACACTTCTGTAAAAGTTAGCTTTGGTAAAATAATTCAACCTTTTTTGGATAAAATTGTCTCTTGCTTTATACTGGTAATTTGTTGTGCTGTTATTTGTAGCTTCTTAATTAAAATGTCTCTTAATTGGTAGCTTCCTTGGCAACAAATCCATTATTGTTCTGTCCGATCAGGGGATTTTACACAAGAAAGACTGAAAGCATATGAGAGAAACAAATTTTCCTCCTCTTTGCTTATGAACTGCAATATTTCACCACTCTGGAAATTTCAATTTATGATTTAACATGCTCACTATTTGAATTCAGAACAATCATGATTTAGACAAGTTTCACATCATTACTTATAAAATATGTCAGTAACATAAATATCAGTGATAAAATATAGAAACCAAAGATGAGATTAGGATAAGGACAGTTACCGGTACTAGTTTCACAAACATGAATATTTTTGATAGAGTTTTTTTTCATGAACCCCTGAAGGTTAAGCCACAGGGCTCACGCTACCGGGCGACTAGGGCGAAGATGTCGCTTTCCCGTCCGACACTTCGATTTGCCCGACCCTCAAAAGCGAAAACTAGTCGCCCTGTGGTTTACGATACTCACTTTCAGTCGCTTTCATCATCGGCAATATTCAATTTTCCCCAAGTCAATGAAACAGCAATGTTTCAGTAAAAAGTAAAAAAATTCAAAGACATCAATGATATATTTTCTTCAGAAAAGAGGTTAAAGCATTGATTTTAAAGTTGGTTGCATGTTATTTCATAAAAACAATTTTTTATCACTTCCGCTACTTGTTAGAGAGCGTACATCAAATCATTCTAATTTTTGGCAAAATAAGTTCATTACTTCATTAGAACGTGATGAAATTTGCCTGAAGTAAATTTGTTATCCATGTATTGCATTAAAAACGTCATATTCCTTTCCAAATAGCGTATCAAACATCGTTTATTTTTGTAAATTTTTCTTCTTCGTCCGCCATTGAAATATTTGTACTTAACTACTGATCGGAACCAGACCAGCTATGACCGAAATCCGGATTCATACGATAATGACTACTGAAGAATGAATGGCACAGCTGACAGAGGAATATTGATCCCAAAAGGAAAAATTACGCATTCCACGCTCATTAACATACTTTTGGTTAGATCTACTTGATTAATGTATATATTTCCATGTATATGAATTGTTTCAATTTATTAATTAAAATTGCTCAACTCTGGGACTACTATACTACATTGTACTATGTCCAAGCTTAACTGTGTTAAATTTATATATCTTTTAAATGAGAATTTTAACCACTGAATTTCACAAACATAACAGAGTATATTTTAAATTGAAATAACAACTTTCTTTTCCTTTTGATATAAAAAAAATCTTTTTTATTATTGTTAGATATTAAACTGTTATGACAAGAGGACTAATATGATTGTGCAACTAGATATGATAAAATTAAACAACTTTGAATTTGAACTGTTACTTTTATTGCACTCCCAGGTACAAATTGAGCAATATAAAAAAATAAGATATATATGGCCCTTTGTATTATAGTAAAACCAAACATTGTAGAGCCGCGAGTGAACGAGCACTTCTCTCTCAAATCTCACCACTTCTCCCTCTCAGTTTCAAAAAGAGAAGTCACTTCTCCCTATGATTCTGAAGTAGTGTGAGCCCTGAAGTCATCCATATTTGTTAGAAATATTGGCATAGGGACATTATGGATATTTAAAAAAGAGGCAGAAAATACCAAGGGAACAATCAAAATTCATAAGTCCAAGAGAACTGTCACCACCATGGCAAAAAACGAAAAAATGTCTAAAAATAATCAAAAATAATATTGAAATCTACAGACTAAGCAAAAGAAGCCCAACAAAAACTGGATGATCGCAGGTGATCTGGTAACCAAATCCTGCTCCAGATGTGGCACCTGCCGTGTTGCTCATGTTAAGTACAAATCTGGTGATAAGTCTTATTTTGTGATCTTGGAACAGATGACAAGATTTTGGGTACAACAATTGGTACATATCCATGGACATTTGTTATGCAGATATTTCATGACAGTCAACAAAATCATAATGGAGTCTGTATAACTTTTGAAGAACTGACTTCAACTTTACCACAAGAAACCCTTTAATTGGCTAAAACTTAAAAGATTTTCCATTTGGAATATTTCTGATATTTTAAATAACATATGATTACTTAAGATATCTCAGAAAATCAGCTAATTAGATAACTTTAGAGATAATATAGCTTACTTAACATTTTGTTATTCATAATTGGAGGTATTTTAAGAAGGAATATATTTATTTAGTATATATAAAGTATATGTTTAGAGCATTTCTCATTTACTTGTATTTTTTAGTTGATGCTGTTATTGTCCTTTAGCCGACTTTTGCCCACTTCAAAGATCCAAAGTGACATAAACTACAAGTCAGCAGAAAATATACACACAGACAACAGTTCCGCAGTTAATAACAGACTAGCAGGAAACAGTTCAGCAGTTAATACAACTTTTAAGCAAAATAGTGACATAAATGAATCAACACCTTTACTGTCATAGTATTGTGATAAGACTATAAAAATTATTGTTAAGTTTCTAATAAATGTATCAGAATATTAATATTTGTTGGCATTTAAATGTGTATTACCCCACACCTGAGTTTAGGGAGTAGAACAATCAGTCTGTCAAATAGTTGGTTTGATTGGGTGAACAATTCTGTTAGATTTTATGTTTAGGAGTTTGAGAGTATTCTGACATTACAGTCAGAAATGACTGCAAAAGACTGGTCAAGATTTTACTCTGAAATTAACAAATTGGATGCAGAAATGAAATTTATTGGAAGAACTTTTAATTATAATGTAGAAATTCATATAACTCTTTGTATATAAGTACATTTTTGCATTGAATCACCAAAATTTGAAGAAGAAAAAAACGCCTTCAGGGCTTATTAAGTTTTATAACAGTACAAACTATGGATTTATCTACTATGTGATATAGTAGAAATTGAATATGGTTACTCCGTTTGTTTAGCTCAATTGATAGTTTCAGCTCATTTTGACCAAACTTGGGGGATTACTTTAAGATAATCATGAATTGTGAATTAGCTTAACTTTTAAGATTTAATTCTGCTCCATTTATTGTCACTGAAAAGACAAATATTAAGCAATTTTCAATATAGTGTAGTTTCAGCAAAATGAGTGCTAGTTCATGTATATAGATAAATCACAAGTTTTCATTAAAAATATTCACTAGGAACTAGATCAATTAGATGTCAAAGAAGGTAAAAAAGGAGTCATTAACCTGCCCTGAAAAAATACAAATAAAAAACCTTAAGGTTATGAAATCATTTATGTATAACACGACACATCACATTATAATAGCATGTTTTCAAACAAACCACAATAACAGTTTCATCTAGTTGGAATTGCCGATAATTCCTGGTGAGGGTTTTTCCAGGACTGCATATCAAATGCAGCAAAAATAATACATTTTACTAGATTAGTCATGACCTCTGACTCACTGTAGTCTTTTTGAATATCGTGAATGATCAATTGCATATTTATGGCACCTATGTTGTTGTGTAATGAAGGAATGATAGATCCAATTTTTATTCCTTATCTACCATATACAGGTTATTTTATTATCCACAGGCAGTCTGTGTATATGTCGATCTGTTCATTAGTCCCTTATAGGGTAAACGTTTTACATGTAGTTGAAGGTATTTTAATACACATATTCATTATGATGTGTGATTTTTATACGACCGCAAAAAAATTTTTGTGGTCGTATATTGGTATGACGTTGGCGTTGGCGTCGTCGTCGTCGTCCGGCGTCGTCCGAAGACACATTGGTTTTCGCACTCTAACTTTAGTTTAAGTGAATGGATCTCTATGAAATTTTACCACAAGGTTCAATAACACAAAAGGAAGGTTGGGATTGATTTTGGGGGTTATGGTACCAACAGTAAAGGAATCAGGGGCCAAAAATAAGCATTTTTGTAACTTCCAGACATAACTTGTGTGTTAGTATATGGATCTCTCTGACATTGTACCACAAGGTTCCATATCACAAAAGAAATGCTGGGATTGATTTTGGGGGTAATTGCCTCAAAATTTTTGGAATTAAGGGCCAAAAAAGGGGCAAAAAACAAGCATTTTTCTAGTTTCATGACAATAACTTGTGTGTAAGTGTATGGATCTTTCTGAAATTGTACTACAAGGTTCCATATCACAAAGGGAAAGCTGGAATTGAGTTTGGGGGTAATTGCCAAAACGTTTAGGAATTGGGGGCCAACAGGGCCAAAAAACACATTTTTCTAGTTTCCAGACAATAACTTGTGTTCAAGTGTATGGATCTCTCTGAAATTGTACTGCAAGGTACCATACCACAAAGGGAAGGCTGGGATTGATGATGGGGGTAATTGCCTCAAAATTTTAGGAATTAGGGGCCAAAAAGGGGGCAAAAAACAAGCAGTTTTCTAGTTTCAGGACAATAACTTGTGTGTAAGTGTATGGATCTTTCTATAATTGTACTACAAGGTTCCATATCACAAAGGGAAAGCTGGGTTTGATTTTGGGGGTAATTGCCCTAAACGTTTAGGAATTTGGGGCCAAAAAGGGGCCAAAAAACACATTTTTCTAGTTTCCAGACAATAACTTGTGTTCAAGTGTATGGATCTCTCTGAAATTGTACTGCAAGGTACCATACCACAAAGGGAAGGCTGGGATTGAGTTTGGGGGTGATGAATCATAAGGGGGTTCAAAAAATGTGGGGGGGGTTTTTTTTTTTTTTCCTTTTTTTTCTTGTTTTCCTTTTTTTTTCTTTTAAAATTTTCCATTTATTTCCATAAATTTCTGATTTACATTTAAAAGCAAATAATAATAATATGGTAGGAGATACACACCAAACAGGATGTGTAAATTATTATATAATAAGTATTGTGCAATAGCAAGAAATTTTCAATTGCACAGTATTGCACAATAGCAAGAAATCTTCAATTGCACAGTATTGCGCAATAGCAAGAAATCTTCAATTGCACAGTATTGCGCAATAGCAAGAAATATCCAATAGCACAATATTGCGCAATAGCAAGAAATTGTCAATTGTACAGTATTGCGCAATAGCAAGAAATATTTAATTGCACAGTATTGTGCAAAAGAAGATACTGAGTATAAATTGCTTATTTCTTGACCAATTTCAATGGGGTTTTATTCTTGAATTCTTGGGGTTCTTTAATATGCTGAATCTAACCGTGTATTTAGTTTTTGGATTTTTGGGCCCCGCTTTTAAATTGGTCCACATTGAGGTCCAAAGGGTCCAAAATTAAACTTTGTTTGATTTCATCAAAAATTGAATTATTGGGGTTCTTTGATATGCCGAATCTAACCGTGTATTTAGATTCTTAATTTTTGGTTCCTTTTTCAAATTGGTCTACATTAAGGTCCAAAGGATCCAAAATTAAACTTAGTTTGATTTTAACAAAAATTGAATTCTTAGGGTTCTTTGATATGCTGAATCTAAACATGTATTTAGATTTTTTATTATGGGCCCAGTTTTCAAGTTGGTCCAAATCGGGGTCCAAAATTAAACTTTGTTTGTTTTCAACAAAAATTGAATGTATGGGGTTCTTTGATATGCTGAATCTAACCATGTATTTAGATTTTTGATTTTTGGGCCCCGTTATCAACTTTGTCCACATTGAGGTCAAAAGGGTCCAAAATTAAACTTTGTTTGATTTCATCAAAAATTGAATTCTTGGGGTTCTTTGATATGCTGAATCTAACCATGTATTTAGATTTTGGATATTGGACCGAAATAGGTGAATGTCCACTTTAAAATTTTTAAGTTCTTACACCACATTCATTCTGTGTCAGAAACCTATGCTGTGTCAAATATTTAATCACAATCCAAATGCAAAGCTGTATCAAGCTTGAATATTTTGTCCATACTTGCCCCAACTGTTCAGGGTTCGACCTCTGCGGTCGTATCAAGCTGCGCCCTGCGGAGCATTTTATTTAAAATATATGCCATAATGTTTTTTCCAGAATTTTCAGTTCGCTGAACATTATACATTATTTTTTTTCATTAAGTATATCATAAAATTTAGTTACGATTGCATTTAAGGTAGATCAAAGGTATCCTGGTTCCCGGTACTACGTTCCAGGTATTAGCTGTAACATACTGAATATTGCGATCGGGAACCAGTCTAGATCAAAGGTAATATTTCTTGAGATAATTTTCTTATGCTTTGCCAAAATTAAGATTTTACTATGCTTTTTTCTAAAATATAAAGTATGGGTCACCGTGCTATTTTCCAAGCTATGAGTCGTTGAAAATTGCCTAAATTTGGTTAGATTGTTCATGAAAAAACACATTTATGTGCATAAAAAAAATCTATGAGATAGAATTTTGAAATAAATTGTGAGAAGATAGGATTTATAATATGTTTTAAGAAAATAAAAAGAAAAAATGGTGTCGCCGAACTTGTTTTCTTGCTACAAGTAAAAATTAAAAATGTCCCTATCAGTCCAGTATATAATTTTTACTAAAAGAGTTATCTCCCCTTAAATGGCTTATTTAAAATGATTCTAAAAACACAAAATTTGATATTTGTTTAAATATTTTGAGTTATACAATAAATCATCAAGTTTTCTTTATATAAATAAACAGTCTAACCAATAAATTGCAAATCTGTCTCCAAATTTGCAGATTTGGGCAAATATCTAGACCGATTTTGTACTGGGATTGTACAATCCAAGATGACGGTATACCATGAATCTACCTTAATCATTTTTCACTTTCACTTCACTTACTTATAGGTGGCACGGTAGTATTTCCTGGCCCATAAGGGATAATGATAGCCTTTTTAGAATTTTCACCACTTTCTAACACTGCCAAAAATTCTACATTCACAGTTAACTGAAGTACTTTCATTTTACTATTCAGAAATGAATTTGAATGTGTATCATGACCGTTTACTTTTTTTGCTATTTTGAAAAACCTAAGGCCACTAGTGCATTTAGGTCTTTTATCGTGCAGTGAATACAAAATTCTCAAAAATTCTCAAAAATTCATTTTCATCTGTATGTAAAATTATTTCATATTTTCCTACACCTGACTCATCCCTCAGTTTGGGAAAGTATGTTCAGTTGATACTGTATTTTTTGTCAATCACACTGTTCGGATACATTGACTTAAGTAACAAAAGAGCAACCTAAATTCTGGAATGCAAATACTACCGCGCTACCTATATTCCCCTGTAATTTATACAATATATTTGGTTTACAGTTTGATTCAGAAGAAACACCGACATAGCTAGATATTACAATTAATTATCTAATTACTACCACAATTTGATATTAATAAGTATTGTAATTTTCATTGTTATTAATAAATGTAATGTCAGTATTACAAATCTAATCTTGAATCAATCCTAATCCTATCTTATTTTTGGGAAATATTTTTACAAATTCAAATGTGACGTCACTTTGTGTGTTTTTTTAGAATTTCAAATGTGACGTCACTTTGTGCATTGAGGCTTTGGCTAACTCGGCTGTGTATTTTTATGTGTTGGATTCAGTTGTTTTATGAAATGTATCCGTTTTTATTCTGTAGTTAGTCCCCACTTCGGTTTTATCATGTATATCTATTATATAGTCATTTTATAAAATTTACTGTTTGCAAAATTATAAATTATTCTAAATAATAAGGATGTTCTTGTCCCAGGCAGAAAACCCTGGCCGTGTTAGGCGCAACTTTTTGGAAGTTTTGGTCCTCGGTGCTCTTCAGCTTTGTACTTGTTTTGGCTTTCAGACTTTTTTCATCTGGGCGTCACTGGTTGGTCTTGTGTGGACTAGACGCACGTCTGGCGTATTGAATTTTAAGCCTAGTACCTTTTGTTAGCTATTATTCATGTGTTTCTTTGTCCTATATGTTCTCCCATTTAATTGTATTGTGGTCCTGTCATGTGATGTTGTCGTTTTGGTGTTGTGTTTGACGTTGCCATAAAAGCAGGAGGTTTGGCATGCCACAAAACCAGGTTCAACCCACCATTTTTTTTCTTAAAATGTCCTGTACCAAGTCAGGAAAATGGCCATTGTTATATTATAGTTCGTTTCTGTGTGTGTTAATTTAATTTTAATTTTAATGTTGTGTTTTTGTTGTGTCGTTGTTCTCCTCTTATATTTGATGCGTTTCCCTCAGTTTTAGTTTGTAACCCGGATTTGTTTTTATCTCTATTGAGTTTCGAACAGCGGTATACTACTGTTGCCTTTATTTAACGAAAGTAAAGATTTTGACAACATTATTTTGCACAGATATAGAGTCTAAGTCAGATATATTATAAGTACGCTGATGTTGCACAGTTCGAATGATGCACTGCCAATTTAACAGTTTACGTCAGAAGATCTCAGAACTTCAAATTTTAAAATTCAAATTTTAATGTCAATCATTGGGATGGCCAACTCGGCAACTGATTACCATAATTGCCTTTTGTTTATTTAGTCTTAAGGCATGTAAGGGATTTAAATCGGGATAATATATAAAATGTCCGGCTGGCTAACAATAATTTTGGAAGCCCTGATTATCTCCCCATAATGATAGATTGTTGAGAAAATTAGAGTTATCTAACATTAATCACAGAGAGGGGTAAGCTAACAATTTTTAATTAGTCCCCTACCGACGAAGTCGAAAGGGACTTTAGGTTTGCACCCTGTCCGTCTGTCTGTCCATCCATCCGTCAGTCTGGCAACTCAGCTTTCCACACTTTTTTTCTTCGTTCTTGAAGATATTGATTTGATATTTGGTATATAGTTTTATAATGACAAGTTATAGATTAAGTTCGAATTTTGTTCCGGTCTGATGATTTAGTCCAGAGTTATGGTCCATAAAAAAAATCCATAACTAATGTTAAGAGTACTATGTTAAACCATATATCTGTACAAAGGGAGATAACTCATTTTTTAAAAGACATTCTTTGGTAAATTGTTTGAGGAATTTTGTGGCAGGTTTATATGTTATTTTGTATAAACTAATTTTCTGACTGCTACATGTATATATATATATTTTTTTTTTATTAAGTGAAATCCTTTAATTAGATAATAATCTATTTTTATTAAAGTATATATTTCATTACATTACATTGTGTAGATAAAAGTTGTTGACATTTTATAGATAAGTTACAAATCTATATTAGTTTGTGACAAATGAAAGAAAAAAATATTTGGAACTATTAATTATATTTGATCGTAATTCGAAAATAGATATACATTGTATTACATCATATCTAATGTTAGAGTGTTATAGGTTTTCCACACTTTTTTTCATCATGCTTGAAGATATTGATTGACAATTGGTATATAGTTTTATCATGACTAGTTACAGATCAAGTTCAAATTTTTGTTTCAGTCTGATAATTTTGTGCAGAGTTATGGTCCTTGGACTTGAAAAAATTCTCTCATATATTCAGTTTTCCACACTGTTTTTAGTCATGCTTGAAGATATTGACTTGATATTTTCTATTTGTTTACACCATGACAAGTTATAGAATAAGTTAGCATTTTGTTCCAGTATAATGAATTTTTAACCGGTAGGGGACTATGTATTGCCATGCAATACTCTCAGAATGCTTGTTATAGCTTAATTAATGTTAAAACAATTTTCCACTAAAATGAATGTTACTTTATTCAAATATAAGGACTTTGTTAGCAAAACCTACTAATCTTATTAGATATTTTGAATTTTTATGACATTAGATAAACAGCTAACTAGTATATTATTCCAAGATACATCAAGATTGAAAAGACTAAACGAGAGAGTTCACAATGATCTGAATATAAACCAGTTTAAAAACTAACAGCTTAATCATGTGTAATTACTAGTTCAGTTCATAGTAAGATAAGAACATTTCTAAACTTCAAAGAAAAGCACAGAAGAATAAGGCTATCACCACTTGGCATCATTCTAAAATAGACTGTAAAGAAGCTACTGCTTAATTTGATGAAAAGCTACAACTCTATCTAGCTACTGAGAAGAGCTACAATGTTTATATATAAATTAAGCAGCACATAAACAGTAACAAGAAAGGCTGTTAACCTGTGAACTGTAGACGGCAGCAATTTCAATATTTAAACTTATCAGATTGATGAAGAAAACAGAAACTACATGAGACAAAACAGAAACTGCAATTCCATTAAACCAGTACATCCTACCCTTACTATGAAATCACATTCTCTCACAGATTAACTCCCTCTCTAATTTCCACTCACAATCATATACCATCACCCTCTCCATCATTTTATTTTTTATCCCTCCCTTTCTTGCCCTTTCACTTTTTCGTAACACCCTTAACCACCTACCACCTATACCCCTTCTGCTTTGTGTTAAGTCCCTATGAGAAGATTGGGTTAGTAGATGAATACAATATTATAAGATGTACCAGAAATGGAAATATTTACATTTTAGAAATATGAAGGAAATTTAGAACTAATTGATACCAAACATAAACATATGATACTGAGCCACTTTTAGAAATGTAGTCTTATTTTCTACACATAATGGTCATCATAGCATTCGTACAAAAGATTAACAGCCAAAGTTACAGAAAGCCAAATTGTGTAATGTAAATTTAAAAATAGAATGCTATTTTGATTGATAAACATTATGAATGCCAAAAGTGTATATTTAACTCTCAATTTTAAAGTGTTTTGGGTGTGTTGATGAAAAAATGCCAAATGATATAAAAATATGAATAGTAAAACAACATGTAAAAGCAAAAAGCCAAATGAAAAAATGCCAAAGTTAAAAAATGCTAATGGTATTAAAAATACCTGTCTGTTAATGTACTAGCCAGCCGTCCTGTGGGTTAGCTAGACTTTAAGGTGCTAGTATGAGCCAAAATTTGTTCCTGTGAAAAAAGTTCCAGTGGAACTAATATCACAGGAAATATGTTCTGGGAGAACTTTTTTCACAGATGATTTCTATATTACTTGTTCCATCTCTATAAAATTTGTTCCACACTTTACCTGGTGAAATAAGTACCGGGGTGGTGAAATTTGTTCCCTACCTAGTGAAATAAGTTCCAGGTTTATGAGATTTGTTCCTTACCTGGTGAAATAAGTTCTAGGTCTGTGAGATTTGTTCCTCACCTGGTGAAATAAGTTCCTTGTCTGTAAAATATGTTCCAATGGTTAAACAAGTTATCTTATATACTGAGCATT